ATTATTGTTAAAGAGCAAGACTACATATACAATAGAGCTCCAATTACAAGTGTTGCACAGGAGGAAAATAAGAGCATTTGCAACAGACTTTACTTTTGCAATACCTTTTCCTCTCAAATTTTCAGTTATTGCACAGAATGAGATCAAGAAGAATGTATGCAGGCCACAACTTGGTATGTGAAATATTATATAAATTTCAATCTAGCACTCCCTCGACAAAATTATTTTCTGAATAGTTCTAATATAACATCAAATTTCCTCTTGTAATAGGTTTCAAATGATCTACCAAAACTACTATTTGATACGAAACTTGATAACAAACAAATAACATAAAGCACCCAGGCTACTACACTCACAGAACTCTTCCCTCTTTCTATTCTCTGCCCCGCAGCGAAGCGCGGGCAGCAAACCTGGTATTGCTTAAATCAAAACATCAAATGGAACAAATCTTTTAAGTTTTAAATAGATTGGCAATGGAAGTTGACCAAAGTTGTAAAGGTTTGGATTTGTGATGGAAGGTATTTGGGTTTGAGCCTCCTTATACCCTTTTTGGTAGGCGATCCGTGAGTCCAAAAAATTCGCATGTGAAAGTCTAATGGATTCGTAAATTCCCAAAGTAATTGGTAGCTTGCCCGGGCCTTGGAGATACGATAACCTACCATGCTCCTAAACTTTGATGTACCAAGACTCACTACATTTTTCTTTTAACTAGTATATACCCCAACCACGTTTTGCCGCGGCGACACCTTTTATAAGACTTATAATTGAAAGATTAAATCGTATAAAATAGAATGACTAAATTGCATTGAATAAAAATGCTTGAGGGTTTTGATGTAAAAGAAATATAATAGAATGGTTAATTGAGTGAAAAAAAAAATAACAAATGGACTAAATAGCATAACATAAAAATGTATGAGAACTAATTCATAAATAACACATCATGTGTGACACTTTGTGACAAGTGTTAGACATAAATTAAGCCACTTACCGAGCAACCCCCTAGTGGAATCACTTTTATATACAGGTATGTTTACAAACCCGAATGTTTTATCATAAAACATTACACAAATTCATTTCTACACTGTAACAATTCATACCCACAAGCATTCATCATTAACCATAACATCGATTGCATCATATCACAGGGCATCATGCACAACTATTGTAGGGTTTAACAAGTTTTTTAGGGTTTTTCTATTATTAGAAACATTATAGTGATAATTGGCTATAACATACCTCCAGCATGCTAGAATCAATGATCACAAACAATGTACAGAGAACAAAAATCATAATTACCCCGCAAATATTCAAATGGAAATCAGGTTGGAATTTGTTAAATAGAAGCATTAAAGAAAATAGAAAGAACAGACGACAATTGATCGTGAAAGGTTGTTGGCTTTTTACGGTTCTTGTAAAGGGTGGAATCGTGAGAAGTATAAGATTGTGGCTAAGTACTTCAAGGAGACTTATAAGATGGTGGTTGAGCACATCTCATACTGGTCGACTAGTGTGGGTGGTCTCCTTGTGAATCAAGTTGTCAATTCCATGACATTCCAGGAATATGTGCAAAAAGAAGAAATGAATTTTGTTATATTCCTTGCTGGTCAGAATGCTCTCCATGATGGTCAGAATGCCCTCCTCACCGGTCAGACTGATATCCTACAATTGTTGAAGAGAAGAAGGAAAGTCCTTAAGCTTTAGTGGTCTTGTCTGGAAATGTTGTCTTTTTGTTGATAATATATATATATATACACACATATATATGGATTGACATTCAAAAAAAATGAAGAAAAATGACAAAACATTTCCAAAATTCCTTAATAGCAAGGCCGATTGACATATCTTACTGCACAATAGGGAAAAAAATTAAAGCATTAACAAAACTAATTACAAGACAAAATTTTCGGAAGTATTCACAAATAGTACTTATTTTTCGACGGAATTGGTGCAACCACAACTTTCAACATGGTACAATACAAATCAGGTTAGTGACCTCTTAATATGGGTTCAATTTCTACTTCTTCTAGATACTATACTATAATGTAAGTATCTAATGCAAGGAAGGAACAAAAGGATTAAACATCCCAAAAATTTAAAGGTGTATTAAAATTTTAAAGGATGTTGTTGCGCCCCAATCTGTTCTACTTGATCTCCATCAGATGTTGTTGCAGCCCCAAGCTGTTCTACTTTATCTCCCATCGGATGTTGTTAAGGTCTCAATCTTTTCATCAACTTTCTCCTCGTGCTGCACATTGAAGCTTTTTATTGATTCTTGATCTCCAAGCTTTTTTTTTTATCTCCACTGGATGTTGTTGCAGCCCAAAGCTATTCTACTTTATGTCCACCAGATGTTGTTGCAGCCTCAATCTTTTCATCAAGCTTCCCTTCGTGCTGCGCATCAAAGCTTTCTATTGATTTGGTTTGAGTTAGCAACTTTTTTTTTCATTCCTTTCTTCTTCACTTTTGAGAGGAAAATATAGGAGTTTGGTGAATTAAAAACTCAGAGGTTCATGGCCAAGAGTAAAGATGTCCAAGTAACGATTATTTTGAAATGTAGCAGTTGTGTTCGAAAAAGCGTTCATAAGGAATCAACGGGTATTTCCAGGTATATTACTCAAAGCACAGTACACCTAATCAATTGGAATTGAAGAAATTTTGTCCTTACTATTATAAACATACAATTCATGGGGAGATAAAGAAATAAATCGAAGCAAGTGGTCGTGTGTCACCCTTCCCGAGAGTATGAGAATATGACAGTTAGATTGGGTATATAATCTATTAAATATATAATTAATTATGTTTATGTATTTTTCAAGGGATGTTGTTGCAGTCCCAATCTTTTCATCAAACTTCCCCTCGTGTTGCGCATCGAAGCTTTCTATTGATTTGGAACATATTATTATTTATTTTTCAAGGGATGAAAATGATTTTTCAAAGCATGAGAAAGATTCCTCGAAGGGTTCTTCTAGGAAAGAAAGTATATCCCTAGACTTCTGATAACAAACTTTGGCAATGTCAAAGTTCCCAGCAAAATGATAACAGATACTGAAAGACACAAAAGATTCAAGTTAGATTCAAATCAAGTCATGATTTATAAAAAAATGAAAAAATACAATTAATTAGATATTAATTTGATGGTTACTTTCAGCCACTAGCTCACTTGAAGTCTTTTCTAATTTTTTTTTTTTTTGACCAAGAAGTCTTTTCTAATTTAGTGATCAAGGGATGCACCTTTCTTTGAAATTCTACAATGAAAACGTAAATAAATTAAACAAGATAAATATATTAATATAATTTTTTAAGAAATAAGAAATAAATACTAACCTTTAGGAAAAACTCTATGTTCCTTCAAATCCTTCATAAACTTGTGAAAATGATAACAAACTAGTCTTGAAGCCGATGACACAACTATGTTTTGGAGCTACTTTTCCACGTTTGAATGTTCAGCAAAAGCTCTTGTGTGGGGCCTTTGGGCAAGAACTATTAAGTTTGTATAATTGTCAAACTCTACTTCAATCAATGTATCTAATGTTTTATCTATTTCTGTTTGAATGCCAAGGATTTGATCATAAAACATATTCAAATACTCCAAACATAAACCCACATTCCCTTACAGGAAGTATCTATTATCATCTTAAAATGACTAGTACCAGATGTACAGCATTCTATAAGAAAATTCTTAGCATCAGCATTTTTAAGTAAGCCATCACAAGATTTAAAACCTTGTTCAACTTTCTCAAAGAAGCCGAATTTGAAGCACAAAAACCTACAGGTATATAATGCAAAAATATTAGATTTCCATCCCAAAAACAAAATAAAAATGATATAAAAGCAAAATTAGAAACAGAATTATATCAACTTACGCATATAGTAAAGAGATATGAAACAAATCCGAATCTTTTATATCTCCTCCATCTCCAGGATTACTCGACAGGGTATGTTGTTGGTAGGCTTGAAAAGCCACAAATAATAGCTTTAAAAAAACAATAAAATAAATTATAAGAAATTAAAATAAATAAACAAATTAATAATGGCTTGTAGGGAGAACTACTTACCATCATGTTCACGTTCAAACAAACTTTTTGCTTATTTTAAAAGTGTGATTTTAGAATCCGCTTTAGTTTCAACAAAATAACTTCTCTTAGAAGTTATATAATCACTGAAATTAGAACGAATATATTTTTGTTTACAAAACAATGATTCATGATTATAGTCTCCTCCAAACTTAGAGCGTAGAAAAACCAAGATCCAGTCGAGCAAGACAACATGCACATCCATGGTAAGGTTAGGTTTTGGGGATGTACTTTGTAGTTGGGGAAAAGGGTGGGATAGGGAAAACCGAAAAATTGAGGAAGGAATAAATACTGAGGAGGTAGGCCATAGCCCATTATTAATTATTAAGAACCAAAAAGGAAATTGGGTCACCTTAGTGAATGGAAGGTTTTAAGGCCCAAAATTAGGCAAAACCACCCAAACATAATAGAAACTGGATCGACCCAAATGCTATAAATAAAGTTGTTTAGTTGATAGAGTTGTTTTTTTTTTTTTGTAAAAAATAAGTTACTATAAATTAAGAAAATTACATAAATGGAGGAAATGAAAATGAACATCTTTCGATGATTTTATTATTATTATTTTTTTTTTTTGCATTAAACATCTTTCAATGTTTAAAAAGTATGAAAATTTTCTTTCAAAGAAGATTTTGTTTTGTATTTTATATTCGAAAAAAAAGGTGTATGAATGTATGATTAAAAATAAAAAATTATTTATTATTGATGTAATTAAATCAGTAAATATCTCCTCAAATTAAAAAAAATTTAGAAAACCTCAATCCTAAAAATTTTCAAAGACGTTGTAAAAGGTTCTAAAATACTTATAAAGTTATACAACACATCGAAAATGAAGAAGAAATTTTTTTTCAAAAAAAGAAATAAGATATGATATGGAGAATATCCAGTATCCAAAAAGAAATTTTTTTTTTAGTACAAATGATGATATATTTATTGATGAGAAGAATTGGGATTACAAACGCCGGGCGCTAAACACCCGCTCCACACACAGTTAACCCTTAACGCAGCTAATCTATGTGCCAAAACATTGGCTTCCCTATTTACATGAGCAAAAACACACTCATCAAACAACAAAGCCAAGTCCCTAATCTCATAAATAAGATTTCCTCCGTCCCACCAACATGGTTTTGAGCTCTTAATTTCCTTAATTGCAATTAAGCAATCACTCTCAATAACACAATTTGTAACATCCCATTCCAAAGCTAATTCAAAGGCAAAAAGCAAGGCATGAACCTCGGCATACAATGGACTAGATACAAACAATAATTCCCTCGAGGCACTTACCATGACATCACCATTAAAGCCACGAATAACCACCCCGAGGCCCGCTACCCCTTCCTGTTCCGAAAAATAAGCATCGACATTAATTTTAACCATGCCATGAGGAGGAGGGTGCAATCTCGCAAGCCGTCGACTACCACTCCCAAACTGGATCTGCGAGCTTGGTGATAACCCATGAGTCTGCCGCAACATATGTTCTCCAGCTGCTGTCAATGCACCCGGCATGTGACAAGTCTGATCATAAACACACGAATTTCGATTTTGCCACAAGAGCCACATGAAACACATCACCTTGTCAAGACATCCAACCCTCGCAGCCTTGGATAGAAAATAAGACCAGAATTCACACTCCCCATCCCAGTCCGAAATACATGGTTCCACCCAAGGTGCACTTAATTCCCAGACACGCTTGCTCAAAGGACATTCGAAAAAGACATGGAAAGCACTTACCTCACGTCCACCGCAAGTATTACAGAAATCATCAATATCCAGCCCTCGCCTTATCAGAGCTGTCTTTAAAGGCAAAATATTCAAAACCACTCTCCATATAAAAAATTTCATTTTTGGCAAAACATTCGCATTCCATATCAGTTTCCAAACAGAATCACGATTCTCAATTTGTGACTCCTCATTACGAAGGATCTTGCACGCAACATAGTAGGCAGATCTAACTGAAAAATCACCAAGATCAGTCACATTCCAAACTAAAGAATCCCTGGCAGACACTCGTGGGATGGGCAAGCACATTATCTTGAAAACATCATCAATACAAAAGAGCTCAAGCAACTTCTCTTCTCGCCATGATCTACTATCAAAATCCATCAACTCCGCTACTTTCATCGGCATTTTGACTATTCCATCTCGAGGCCGAGGTGCATAAGACGGGGGATTGTCTAGCCATCAAGAATCCCAGACATCTGAGTTTCCCTCCCCCACCCTCCATCTCGACCCCTCACATAAAACCTTCCTTCCTGAAAGCAAACTGCGCCATAAAAATGATGGGTTAGAACCCAATGTTGCCGAAAGAAAAAGTCCAGAAGGGAAGTATTTTGCCCTTAAAATCCTAAAACATAACGGATTTGGATTCTGGACTAGACGCCAACATTGTTTCGCCAGCAATGACAAATTAAACGCTTCAAAATCTCGAAATCCTAAGCCCCCATCCGCCTTCGAAACACATAAAGATTCCCATGATTTCCAATGAATCAGTCTCCTATTATCAGTATCCCCCCACCAAAATTTGGCAATGACCCCATTTAACTCCTGAATGAATGATTTCGGAAAACGAAATATACTCATAAGATAGACTGGAATAGCCTGTGCCACCGATTGGATCATGACAGCCTTTCCTGCAATAAAGAAAAGCTTGCTACTCCATCGCTGCACACATTGTATGAGCCTATCCTTTATGTAGCGAAACTCCCGTACCTTCGAACGTCCAATCATAATCGGCAAGCCCAAATACTTATCCTTGTCCAGAATCTTGTGAACACCCAAGGAATTCATTATATCTGCTTGTAACCTGACAGGAGTGTTTGCACTAAAAAAAATAGAAGACTTATCAATATTCACCTGCTGCCCAGAAGCTATTCCAAAATCCTTCAAAATATTCACAATATTCTTACATTCCGATTCTTTTGCCCGAAGGAAAAGAATGCTGTCATCTGCAAAAAATAAGTGAGATACACACGGTGCTGACCTTGAAACCGAAACTCCCTTAATGTCACCCCTGGCCTCAGCACAATCTAGCATTTTTTACAAGGCTTCCATACATAATAGGAAAAGATATGGAGATAAAGGATCCCCTTGCCTAATTCCACGTTCGGGATAAAACTTCTCACACTGTTTCCCACTAACATTCACTGAGTAAGATACATTACGCACACACACCATGACCTGTGAAACCCATTTATCAGTGAAACCCATTTGATACATGCAAGCTTCAAGAAATCCCACTCAACTCGGTCATATGCCTTACTTAAATCCAACTTTAAGGTCATATAAGCTTTCCGACCACCCCGTTTATTACTCATGTGATGTATTGTCTCAAACGCAATCATGGCATTATCAAAGATCATTCGCTCCGGAACGAAAGCACTCTGATTGTCTCCAATAATGTCAGACAAAAACATATTCAATCTGTTAGCTAATGCCTTTGAGATAATTTTAAAGACCACGTTACAAAGACTTATCGGCCGAAAGTCCTTAGGTGACTCAGGTGAACTAACCTTTGGAATTAAAACAATATTGGTATGATTAATATCAGGCAGTGACTGACCTTCATTTAAGAAAGCTAAAGCCAACGAGATGACATCCTGTCCAACAATATGCCAACACTTCTGAAAAAATAATGGTGTCATACCGTCAAGACCTGGCGCCTTATCACCCTGCATTTGAAAAGCAGCCTGTTTTATGTCTTCAGGTGTATAAGCAGCATCCATCACCAAACGCATGTCCTCTGTTATGCGATTATCCAAGCACTCTACTACTTTCTCAATCGAAGTCATAGTGTGAGTATCCGAGGTAAAAATATTCCTAAAATACCGAGTAAATTCCGCCTCCATCTGCAAAGGATCAGAAAACCATAGCCCAGCTTCATTCTTTATACCAACAATCCCTTTGCGTTGTTTCCGCATCGAAGCCACCGCATGAAAGTACTTCGTATTCTTATCTCCTTCTTTTAACCACAGGGCCTTTGATCTTTGTCTCCACATGATTTCTTCCTGTCTATACAGTTCCTCCAACTCCCGCCTACAATTTTCAAACTCTACCATTTCTCCAGAAATACCTTTCGAAAAAGCCTCTTCATATTCTCTTTTCTTTTTGGCCAGTCATCGTTTTACACTACCAAAAACCTGCTTGTCCCATAAATTCAATGCCCGACCACAATTAGCAATTTTCTGACAAATATCCGAAGCCTCTGTTGCTTTCCACGACCCTTCAACTACTTCCTCAAAAGTTTCATGTGAGAGCCACATGCTTTCAAACCGAAAAGCAGAAGGATGATAATCAAAAACTTGCTGCTCTAAAATTGAAACCAAGATGGGTAAGTGATCAGACTCAGTTGAGATTAAGTGTTTCTCAAATGAGTAGTTAAACCTTTGCCACCAAGATGCAGAAACCAAACAACGATCAAGCCTTTCAAAAACAAACTCACCATTAATCCTCCTTGACCATGTCATCCTAGGGCCTAAAATTGGTAATTCTTGCAGATTACAATCATCAATAACCTTTTTAAAAGCCTCCATTTGATTTGCAGGCCGTATTGCACCTCCCTCCTTTTCATCCAGACAACATATTTCATTGAAATCCCCTGCTACTAACCATGGCAAATCCATCCTTCCATATAGACATCTTAAAAGACTCCAGAACTCATGTCTGAGATGGGTTTCAGGTTTACCATAGAAACCCGTAAACCTCCATTATTTTGGGCCAATATCAAATGAAACATCAATATGAGAAGACGAGTAAGACAAAAGATTAACATCTTGATTATTCATCCATAACAAAGCAATACCCCCAGCCCTACCAATACATGAAACAGAAAAACAAGAAGAAAAACCTAACCGAGATCGGATCCAATCCATCTCACTACTACTACATTTAGTCTCTGATAAAAATAAAAAAGAGGGATTATTTAACCTAACTAAATCTTTAAGAGCCGACACTGACCGTGGAGCCCCCAACCCACGGCAGTTCCAAACTAAGTCATTCATTGGTATCAGCAGAGATGGTTTTCCCCTGCCATCTCCGCCACTGGTCTCTGATGATTGTCTCGTTCTCCCTCCACCGCATCATTCTGTCTTGGAGCTATTTGCGAACCAGTCGACTCCCCTTGGCCTTCTTCATGTTCGCGGGATTTCTTTGCTCCACTGCCATCGATACTCATTGCACATGGCCCAATATTCCTCCGACGTTTCCCTTGGTGCACAACCGGTTCTTGACTAAGTGCCTCCAAAGTGTATCTCGATGATACCCTATCCATCTTTTTCCACCGTCGTCCAGCCCCCTTTGCTGCCCCCTTTGTCGGTGTCGAACCGGAGCCAAAGACAAAGGTTGAAGAATCTGCAGAGCTTACTTCTGTTTCTTCACAACGCAGCTGCTGACCACGAGGAGTAGTTTCCTTGTTCATTTGCCTCTGGATCCCTGGCTTAATTACTGACCCAACTCCTCTGTGACCCAAACCTGCTACTTGGCCCAAATTCCTCATCTCTATTCCCAAACCCGGAGCTGTTGGGCTGTACCCAAGCCCATGATCCTGACCCATAACAACTCTAGATCAGTCCTCCAATAAAATAGGAGCCATCTGACCCAAATTAAGAACGTTCTCCTCATTGTTCTGACCCCTTCTATAACTACCATTCCCATTATCACCACGATCCCTCTTCCCCTGAAAAATCGGCCTCTCCTGCGCAGATGAAACCTCTTCCTCCTCCAATCTCACCTTCCCCTTCTCCCGTCCCCTCTCAGGCAATCGAGAGATGATTTCGCAAGAGACCCCATCAATGTCACGCGCCACGGACCGGCCATGTAACGCCAGACTATCAATATACTGCCGGAAACGACTCTCCGATCCTTGCAAACTCCTTTCCCCTCTAGCACCAAACCGAAGACCTGTATTGTCAAACCTTGATCTCCGATCGTGAGACAAAGCTCGAGAGCTAGAGAAAGACCCCAAAGAGAAAGATGGACTACCCAACCTATCAATCCCCCTTGATTTCACAATAGGAGATTCAACTTTCAAATCAGAGGTGAACTTTCGGACTACAAAGCCCTGAAGCTTCTTCTGTTCCACCGTCGTCGGGCAATCTTGCTCCTGGTGAACAACAATACCACATACTCTGCAAAAATCAGGAGTTTTTTCATATTTAAATTTTACCTCAATGTCATCTCCATCAGGAGTGGTCACTGTTGTATCGATTTGGATTGGAGTTTTAATATCCATCTCCACTCTCACACGCATAAACCGCCCCTCCGAGAGATCAACATCCTGCACCAGACCAAAAGATTGGCCTATAGCCATTACGACTTTTGTCATCTGCATTGCTGGAGGTAGGCCAAAAGCGAGAATCCATAGAGGAAAAGCATCAAACTCCACTTCATCCGGTAATGTAAAGCCATCGTAATCATTAAGAATGATCAAAGATCTCTGGAATGACCAAGGCTGCGAAACCATGATGCGATCCCTATCCACTCCATCTTCAAATTCAAAGAGGAATAAGTTGTCTTCGACCGCCTTAACCCTCATACCCATATCAGGTTTCCAGGCCTGAAACATTGCAATTCGCAACCCTTCCACATTAGCTTGTTTTTTCGAAAACAATTTCGCCAGTAGAGAAAACCATGAGAGTGATCCCTCAGGTTCGTCAATCCACTCTTTGGCAATAACAATCTTCTTGGAAGGCTCTGATTGTTCCCCTTCTTGAAGAGATAGCTGAGAACACAAATTAGAAAGATTGTCAGCCATGATGATTTCCTGCAAGAGAGAAAGAAGGTCGAAAAGGAAGAAAGCACACTGATAGCCAAAGAGATATGATAGCCACCAAAGCCAGAGTACATGATAGGCTTGTAATGGCCAGTTAATATAGCCATACGCCAAAGCCTTTCCGATTTGAATTTGAAATTCAAAAAAGAGATTATGATTTGGTGGTTGCAAAAATAAATCCTCCAGAGATCGATAAGATCCTGAGGAAGAAGACTTGCACCATGGCAAGAGGAGACTCCCACTAGAGCAAACTAGGGAAGAGGATAAAACAGGAGAAGAAAAAGTCATAGTTTTTTCAAAGTTGTTTCCAAAAAGAAAAAGTTCGATCTAGAATTGTAGAACTAAAAATAACAAAAAAAATAACAAAAAAAAAAGTTAGATCTAGAATTGTAGAACTAAAAATAACAAAAAAAAAAGCCAGATCTATATAGAATATCTGAATATAAAAATTTAAAAAATAAAAATAAAAAGAATAAAAGATTAATTATGCAATTCTTCAATAAACAAAGATCGGGTTGCATATGAAAATGAAAGATGAAAATGAAGAGTTGAACAAGTTTTTTTAGGGTTTTTCTACTATTAGAAACATTAAAGTCCTGAATAGAGAAAATAGTTTGAAAATTGTTAGGTTTTTCTACGATTAGACACACTAACTTAGAGATTTGAAAAAAAAAATCGACAATTATCGCCAACTTTTTATCTTTTTTAGATACAATAATGGGGAGTTCTTTAGAGTCGGTGAGGGTTTTTCGATGTGAGGAAATCGGTTTTGATTTCTATTAGGGTAGTTTATATTCGTTTATATATATATATATATCTATAACATACAATTAAAAGAGAATTGAATGTACCAAAAAACCAGTTGAGAAACCTCACCACATTCACTCAAGAATAAATTATCAGGGGTATTTCAGTATTTTTGTGCTTGGTTTTTTTGTTATTTCGATTGATGGTTGAGGGCGTTTTGGGAAGTTTGAAACAAAGTTACTATTATTGGGCCCCGCTTATAATAAACAAATCATTTTTTCTGGTCTATTTATTAAATGATCCCTATACTTTTATGCTTTATGCTATTTAGTCCCTCAAAATTTTTGGGTTGAACGATTGAACGTTTCGCCTTTAATTCTTTTATTTTTTGTTTTGTTTGTCCGATGAAGGTTATTAAAGTGTCTATTAAAAGGTAATTTCATGATCTACAAATTCCATGAAGGACTCAAAAGTCAATTTTAATGTTTTGATTCAAAAAAATGCTTCTGAAATTTTGTGGTCTCGATTGCCGGTCTATTTGATATTGTATAAATTTCGGTCCACTTGTCCGATTGAGGTTGTTCAAGTGTCGGTTAAAAAGTTATTGTGTAATCTACAACTTTCATTAAGGGCCTGAAAGCTGAATTTGATTAATGAGTTTCGTGAAGGGTTCAAGAGGGAATTTTTATGTTTGGTCTCCATAAACAAATAATTTTTTTGTAGGATTATTTATCAAATGATCCCTATACTTTTATAATTTATGGTATTTATTTTGGTTTTTTTTTTTCCGATCAAGGTGATTCAAGTGTCTAGTATATATATATTAGATGATTTGGTATATAAGATGATATCTTAATATCCAAATTTCTGATTATTATATATCTCCGAGAAGAGAAAGGATAATCTACGTAAATAACTAAGTACAATGAAAAATATAAAAATAAAATGCAGTGAGAATTCCTCCCATAACATAATAACTACCATATGCCCTTGCTTTTTATATATATATATAAGGGTTTTACCTTCTCACTAATGAATGGGATTTAACTTTACAACACCCCTTTACTTGACTACCGATATCGTGCCAAATATTGCAATCATATTGTGCCAATTTTAACCCCACAATTTTGTGTCTATTTCTTTTAAGCATTAAATTAAGTTTAGACCCATTATTTTGGCTAAATGTTTAAATTGGTTCCTAATATTTACAAAAATGCTCAAGTAAGTATCTAACCTTTTAATTTGGTTAATTAAGTCCTAACGTTGCAAAATCGGCTCAAATTAGTATCTGACGTCAAATTGACAGCCTAATAAACTCCAAAACGTTAGGGACTGATTTGAGCCGATTTTGCAATGTTAGGGACTGA